GGTGCAACGTGTGGGTGGTGTGTGGGGTGGGGTGGGTGGTGGTTGTGTGTGTGTGCGCTCGCTTTGCTGTGGCGGGGTGGGGCAGGAGGTATCCGTGCGTTTGGCAGTCGTTTGCAGCTGCAGCAGCAGCAGCTGCAGCTGGCGCCGCGGCGCACGCTCAGCTGCCACCCTGCGCCTAGCTGCCATCTGTCCATCCACGCTGCCCCGATCCCTTCCCCACCCTCGCCCCAGCACCTGACCCCGCCCGCTGCCGCCGCCGCCGCCGCCGCCTGTGCAGCGTGCTGGAAACAAGCGAGGAGCTGCGTGCCGCGCTGATCCAGGGACTAGACACGCTGGTGGCGATCAGCTATGTGGACGATGACGAGGTGCGGGCCTGCCGCTGGCTCAGTGCTGCGTTGCTGCTGTGCTCGAGGGCATGCAGCAGGCGCGTTGGTGCGGCGGTCGCGGGCGGGGCGGGCCCGTTTCGGCATCCCTGCTGGCGAGCGTCCATTGCCTCTTGTGTCCTACTTCCTTCAACTCCGAAGCCTGCCTGCTTCGCCCGCCTCGCTCCGCCTACCCGCTCTGGTTCCGTGCCGCTCCCTCATGCCCACCCGCATGCCCTGCCCCTGCCAGGGCGCCAGCGGCGCCTGCCCACCTCTTAACCACTGTACCTGTACCCCGCCTCCTCCCCGCCCCTCCTGCTGCTGCTGCCCAGGTGTTCAAGATCTGCCTGGAGTATTGGAACTTCTTCGTGCCGGACGTCTACTCCTCTGTCTGCACCCTGCAGTCAACCGCCTCGCCAGTGCAGGTGCGCCGCGCGGGGCTCGTGGGCTGGTTCGCAGGGCTGGGCAGGGGCAGGGCTGATGGCCAGGCTGGGCAGGAACTGGGGAGGCAGGCGGGAGCAGCGGTAGCGGCCGCAGCACCGGTGGTGGCAGCCCGAGTTTACCCCAGAGCATTGCTGGCTGTTTCGCTCTTGAGGTGCAGCCGCAAGGAGGGCGCCTGCGCTGCACCTCGCAGCCTGGGACGGTGCAGCCTGGCTGTCGCAGCCCCGCAGCAAGCGCGCTGCCCTGCCCTGCCCCTCACCGATCCTCCCCCACCTCTGCCCCGCCGCCTGCCTCTCGCAGCAGTTTTCCTTTGGCGGCGGCGCCGCGGCGGCTCCCGCCGGCGGCGGCGTGGCGCGCAAGGTGCTCTACCAGAAGACGCTCAGCCAGCTGCGGGCGCTCATGATCGCGCGCATGGCCAAGCCCGAGGAGGTGCGGCCTGGTGTGGTGGTGTCGGGGATGGCTGGCTGTTGCCCAGAGTGGCTGGCTGCTGCCCGAGGAGGCATGGGCTTGCTCGGCAATGCGTGTGGCAGGGGGAGGTTCATTGAGCCTCCAGGGAGCCATGTGACTCCACGTGGTGAGGTGGTGAGGCGCTCGAGAGCCTGCCTGCTGCCGCTCCCCACGCCCCCGGCCGCCCCTGCAGGTGATCGTGGTGGAGGACGAGAACGGCAATGTGGTGCGGGAGACGATGAAGGACACGGGTGAGCGGGGCTGCTGAGCTGGCGCTGCTGAGCTGGCGCTCACGGGGCTGAGCTGGCATCTGGCGTGCCTTTTATATCGTTTTGCCTTTTGCTTGCCGGGTGCCGGGTGGCGTTTGCCGGGTGGCGTACCCCGCCACCCGTACCGCTCACCGCCGCATGCGCCGCACCGCCCGTACCGCAGACGTGCTGGCGCGGTACAAGACGATGCACGAGACGCTGGTCTACCTGTCGCACCTGGACCACGAGGACACGGAGCACCAGATGCTGGACAAGCTGCGGCTCCAGGTAGGAGCCTGTATGTGTTGGTGTGGGTGGATGTGTGCGGCGCCACCTGTTTCGCCTCTGCCGCCACCGTCTCCCCACCGTGCGCTGCTTGCGCTGGGCGGGCAGCATGCTGCACGCGCCCCGGGCGTCTGCTGCCCAGCGCTTTCGCCGGCAGCCGCGCGGGCTGCCCCCTTATAGGGACCCCCAGCATCACTGGCGCCCCTCACCTGCCCGCCCGCCCCCCACCCTGCAGGCGCAGCTGAACGGCCGGGAGCTGGGGTGGGCGCCGCTCAACCGCCTGTGTTGGGCCATCGGCAGCATCAGCGGCAGCATGGTGGAGGAGCAGGAGAACAGGTGGGGGGCTGGTGGGGTGGTGTGTGTGTGTGGGGGGGGGGGGGGGGGGGCAGGCTGTGGCCTGGCGGGTGAGGGGGTGTGCCTGGGCGTTGTGCCTGCTTGCTAGGGCCCGGCTGGCTCTGCGCTCCACCGTTCCCCCCTAACCCCCTCCACCCTTCCCCCCTAACCCCCTCCAACCTCCCCCCCACCACCACCACCTTAACAACCCAACCACCACCACCACCACCACCCACATACCTCAGGTTCTTGGTGACCGTGATCCGGGACCTGCTCAACCTGTGCGAGGTGACGCGCGGCAAGGACAACAAGGCGGTCATCGCGTCCAACATCATGTGAGCATGGCTGGCTGACTGGCTGGCCTGGACTGGCTTGGGGGCCAGGCAGCGGCTGGGGGAGGAGGGCAGGAGGGCGGCGCAGCTGCGCAGCACGCTGCGCTGCCCGCCGTTCTCAACCGCCACCTGCTCACCCCCTGTACCGGCCCTGTACCGCCTGCAGGTACGTGGTGGGGCAGTACCCCCGCTTCCTGCGCAACCACTGGAAGTTCCTGAAGACGGTGGTCAACAAGCTGTTTGAGTTCATGCACGAGACGCACCCGGGGGTGCAGGTGGGGGGAAGCTGTGTGGTACTGTGTGTGTTTGTGAAGGAACAGCAGCGGCACCGCACGCACTTCGGCTGCAGCGGTGTCGACCCCGTTTGCCCTGCCTCCCCAGTTTGTTTTTGGGGTTTAGGGTTTATTTAGCCCAAAAATCAGCGGAAACCCTTGCCACACACCGGGGTGCACCCAGCCGCCCACCCACTTAACCACCCACCGCGCTCTCCTGTCCTTTCTTTCCAATCACTCCTTTCTTCCCATCACCCCCCGGCAGGACATGGCGTGCGAGACCTTCCTCAAGATCGTGTCCAAGTGCAAGCGCAAGTTTGTGATCATGCAGGTGGGGGCACTGGTCAGCGCAGGAAGGAACGGAGAGTGGGGGTGGGGCGCTGTGCAGCTGTTCCCTGGGCCCCGACAATGGAGACACCAAGCAAAAAATAAACAAATAAACATAACTATACACCCCTTCAAGCCCCACGTCTCTGCCCCTGCCTACCTGCCCCCCCCCCCCC